AGAGCAGCACTCGCTGCCGCCGGCCCCAGCGCCTCCCCGCCGCGCACATCTCCGCCGCCGCACCGCCGGCACCGCAACTTCGTCGAGAGCTCCCGCCGCCGCTCACCGATCGGGCTCACGGTGCAGCTCCGGCTCGCCGCTCCCAGCCGCTGCCGCCGGGCTCTCTGTGTCTCTTCAGCACGGTTCCGCAGCGTGGGGACTGTCGCAAACCGCCCGGCCTCCGAGCCAGACACCGGGAGGCCGATCGAGCCGGGCCGCAGCGGGCGGGGCTGCAGCTCTCCGACCTTCCTCTCGCTCCTCTCGGTCAACAGCGGCGCCCGCAGCCTCCTCCCGGCACTGCACGCACAACGTATATGTCATATAGTTTTCTTACTACGACGTACCGGGTATTACGAGTCTTAATTCAGTAGCTCAAAACCAAAACATTCATCGTAAGTATTTTTAGAAGTTATAATTAAATAACTGGCACAAGAGTAGCAAAAGAAAACGGGCTCTGATGTACACAATTAGACACACACCCCTGCTTCCCGGAAAACCACAGGTATTAAGCTTATTTAGCTGGGCGTCTGGAACTTTGATTTTGAATATCTTAGTCCAGAATACCTAAATTAACTACTCCACCAACACTGACTGATATTGAGACCTCTAAAGCTGGAACAAAATATTGTCAACCCATTGAAACTGAGATGCAAACCACCCCAACCCCCTACAATTCCGGAGGAGATGAGTTGCTCAACTATCTGCCAGGCCCTCCGGGCTTTCTCCCCGGAAGACCTTTCCGAGGCCACAGTACAGGAGGAGGCTCCCCTACTCCTGGAAATCCATATTCTCTCACCCCTGTGTTGCAGGCTGTCCGTCACTTGATCACTCCTTTATGACTGTACCTACCACTACCCAAGAGGCTGGAAAGCACCTGCAGTGAACCTGGACACGTTATACATATTTACATACAATCACGCCATTCTGTAGGCACAAAAAGAGGCTTTTCTTTCCTCAGAAATCAAGGTGTAAAGGATTGTTGCTTGTTAATTGTGCTAATTCTTGTATATTCACGTAGCTACAACATATATTGAACAAAATAATTGAGAACAGGGGGGAAAGAGAAGTACGGCTGCACAGCCTAAGTTGGGGTACCCTTGGTAAATGTGCAAATTCAAGGGCCGACGTCGTCATTCGGCAAATCTCCTTCAAATTTAATGTAAATTTCTGGATCTTAGACACCTAGCCTTTAAGCACACAGATGTAACTGCTACTGAAAAAAAAAAAACCAGAACCAAAACCCCAAAAGCTAGGACAACGAATTCTCTATACAAGGTCCAAGCACTTCTCTTTCTGTAATAAGGATATGAAAAGAAAACAGGCTCTGAAACACAAATTACAACTTTTTCTTTCTTTTAAGACTTCATTCTTCATCTACAACGGCGTATGAAAGAAATATTTTAAAGAGTAAACAAAAACAAAACCAAAACAACAAAAACAAAGAACCAGAAGTACCGACCACCGACCAGGACGGAAAAATAAAGTCAGGAAAAGTTAAGACGTCCCGCTGCTGCAACCAATCCCGCAAAATGTAGGTGACACTCTCTTCTTTCAGTTTGGATGGAGAACCTATCACTTTTCCATTCATGAAGTACAGGAACTCTTTTGGGAGTCCAACACCGAAAAAGCATTAACTGAAAGGTTTGCAAGGACCTATCAGCGAGGTCCAAGAATTTCAGGACAAATGGATCATTAAGGAAAAATCTCCGACAGATAATGTCGGTATGATTTCCATGGTTCTTTCATGCGGAACAAGAGTATCTCCTTCCTCATAGTAACAAATCCCCTTCACCTTTTTTAGTTAAAATACTACATACAACACATCCAGTTGAAATTCAGCCTGTGACTAGTGAGACTCAAGAGATGTCACTGCTCAGTACTATTAGAGGATGGATTGGCCCCGTTCCTTCACTCTGTGACGGAGACAGGGACCAGTACTCCCCATCCACAACACACCGGGAAACACAGAAGAAAAGAGGTCAATAGTTAGGAAGAGCTCGAAGAGAATGGATTGACTGACCTGTGGTACGTCGGGGTCGACAAGCGGCTGTTCCACGACGGCGTTGCTGCTCGGACTCGGCTTCTCGCAGGGCTCCCCGGCCACAAGCTCCTCCGCGGGCACGATGGGCAGCGGCGGCGGCGGCCAAGCGGCCTCGGGGGTGGCGCGGG